AATTTCCAACAGCAATAAAGTAAACACATGATACTATTAAACTAAGTGAACATACTTAAATTTTTAAAAATTAGAATTGCTATGTTGAGTTAATCTGATCATAATCATTTTGCTACATGTTAATAATTACTCCAATGTAATATATACAAGGTGAAATATCATATTACTTCAGGAAATCAGAATCTATGTTCAAACTGAAAGTTAGATTCTTAATTAAGGCACATCAAGTTTGCATAACTGGTTTGACTTAAAGTATGCATACCATAACTGGAGTAACCAGCTTAGCAAACTGACAAGAACAAAGTTATTATAGTGTGTTATCAGGCTCATGTGGCACACACAAAATAATAAAGTTAGATCTGCTGATTATTTCTCAAAAAGCTGAATTACAGGAACTAGAAGCCTTTCCGACTCTATTGCCAAAATGATAAGTGTGAGAGGTACTTATTAGAACAGTCAAATAGTCAATTGTAATAGCTGACAGCGGGGACCATAGGTAAGAGTTAAAACTTTCTTTTCTACAAAAAGAGGAAACACATGTTTTAACAATTTGTGAATTATAAAAGTTTGATTGTGCACCCACAAAGCCCCTTCCAATTTCTCACTAAGTTAAAGTTAATTTATTAATACAATTTTTCTGTTGTTGTTCAATTGTTGTCCATGTAAAGTTAATTCATAGAAAATGGAAAGCAAGTTGTTCTTTTTTCTATCATATATTTTACAATATCTACACTTATAGAAGTTTTTTTTAGTATGAAAAATACAGATTGCTTTAATTAAGACTTGGCACACTGTTAGATATTTACACATGAGAATGTGCAAACACCAACTTTTTCCAGTCTGTTTTGTGGATATCAAGTGAATAAGGTGTGCAGTGTTATATATTTCACATGTTTCAATGGTGAGTGTCTCAGTGAGATAGATACAGTGCAGCATCAAAGGCACAGGGATACTCAGACAGCAACTTTCTAAATGCAACATTTAACTGTGAATGAATGGTCACTAGATGTTGTTCTCTAATTATTTTTTCATCAGATGCGGGCGCCACTGTCTAGGCCAGCATTTATTATCTCTCCCTAATTGTCCTTGAGTAGGGGGTGATAAACCACCTTCCTGAATAGTTCACTCCTTCTGCTGTTGGAATATTCAGTTCTGTTTAGAAAGGGAGTTTCAGGATTTGACATAATGATGAAAGCTGTATTGTTCCAAGTGAAGATGATATGTGATTGGGGGGAACTTTCAAGTGGTAGTGTTCCAAGCTTCTGCTGCCCTTGTCCTTGTAGAGATCACAGGCTTGGGAGGTGTTGTTGACTAAACACTGGTGAGTTGCTGTTCTGTAGAAATAGTATATTGCTGCTTTTGGGCACTGCTGGTAGAATGAGTGTATGTTTAGGTTGATCGTAGGGTATCAATTTGTTCTTTAATAATTGTGAACATTGATCATGTACTTGATTTTTTCATTCAGAGATTACAGTTATGCATTTACAACAAGCATTACTAGTGTCATGACAATGGATCACAACCCTGATTTACTATGAACATATTTAAATCTTAGTTCCAAAATGTGTCTTTTGAAAGAGGACGACTGTGGACAAAAGAGAAACTGTGGATGTAAATTTAATGCTATCTGGCAGGGTCCTGTCAGGAACTCATGGAATGTCACACCTGTAGAATGTCAAGGACACCTCAAGCACAGAGAGAGAAACTAATAAGGAAGGGATAATGAGATTGCTTACTGTCTTTCCCCTCTTAATGGAAAGCCACCTTTTATACATATTGTGATGTTTAGCCCTTCCAGGAATATACAAAAAGAAGAGTTAAAAACTGACAGGCCTGGGTGTGTTAATGGACAAAAGTGTTGGTGAACTCAGGTAGACATCGTAAGAACTGCCAATGCTGGAGTCTGACATAACACAGTAAGGAGCAGGAGGAACACAGCAGGCCAGGCAGCATCAGAGGAGCAGGAAAGCTGACGTTTCAGGTTGGGACCCTTCTTCAGAAAAATTTTTCTGAAGAAGCGTCCCGACCTGAAACATCAGCTTTCCTGCTCCTGTGATGCTGCCTGGCCTGCTGTGTTCCTCCAGCTCCACATTATGTTATATCAGTGAACTCAGGTATTTAGGTCTACTAGGTTGGGTTCAAGTGTAGTGTGCCGTGTAAGTCACAGTTGACGAAACCCAAACCACCCCCCCACCACATTGCAGGTAAAAGGGTTCCCACATTCTGTGTGCTAGAAGCCAACTAGTCTCCAAGTCAATCAGAAAGTATCAGGACAAGGAAGATCCCCTCACCTTGTGGATTGACAGCCCACCATAATTGAAACAAGATAGGTCAAAGAGATATTAAAATAACCTGCATAAGTTAAAAAATCCCAAGATCAGATGTTCAACTAATGCCGCTCCACTATCTACTCTTTGTGAATGGTCCAAGGAGACTGAATTATATATTTTTTAACTTTTATCTTTTTGTGAACTCATATTCTATTCCTAATCTGTGTATATGTGTGTTGCATATTTTTTATGTTTAGTAACTTATGATCTCAGTCTTTTGTTAACTCAAGAAAGCCTTGTTAAATTTTCTCCTTTCAAAACATATATTTTTCCTGGAAAAAGTCATGTTACAAAGGATGGGTCCTTCTTAAATTAACCTCATTCTAAATGGGAAGGTGTGTGAATAAAAAGGAGTCAGTTCATCCCCAATTACCTAGGAGCTTGGGATATCTGTCTAGAACTGTGATGGATTGTGGAACCTTGTCCAGGGTCTGGTCACAACTCTAGTTAGCAATGAAGCAAACCCAAGGCCATTTTTTTCTCTCCCTTGGATAATGATGATGTTGGTTACAGTTGTGACCTGTTGATGCCCAGGCAGGAGTCAACTAATGTGTCAAGGGCTGGATTTGATTTTTCCTTAACATTTTTAAAAGCAATTGTGAGGTTCTCTTTTAAAAAGTAGGTCAGGACATAACGAGTGCTATTTTACACAGTTGATACTGCGATGAAAACAATTTCTGCTTTAAGCATTGTTTTTATTGTGCACGCAATCTTTAAGCGATGGCATGAATTGTTCATGTGCACTCCCACAAAATATGCAAACATTAACAGTTGTCAGATAAGCAAAATTGCATTCCACAGCTCAATAACTCTGCAAGCAATTAATTTTCCATTATCAGTCAGGCACCAGCTGTGGCTCAAGGCTGTGACTCTTACCTTTGAGTCAAGGACTTGAGTTCATAAACTGGACTAGCACTTTAGTACTGAGAGAGTGTTGAAGAGCCAAATTTAAGTGGAATGCCATCTCTTGAACAAATGATCACAAAAAAACTGATACCGCACCTTTTGAAGAAGAGCAGGAGAGTTCTGACTAGTAGTTATCGCACAGCCATTATCAATATAACACATGATCTGTTCATGATCACATTGTTTATACACTTTTACTGCAGCCAAATTGACAGCCACATTTCCTACTGTCCAGTAACAACTAAATTTCAGAAAGTAATCCAGCCAGTGTGATTTGGTAAACCGTGAGGTCATGAACAGTGTTATACAAATGTAACTTCTTTCTTTCTTAAATCTCAGCATGTCACAATATTAAATTTACTTGGAACTTGCTTAGATGCTATGTCACTCACTGTTGAATTATGTATCTGGCTGCTGATCAAAGAACAGCATTTACGGAAGAATTAATTAAAATTACCAATTGGTGAAAGCTGTATTGCAAGGGGTCACTAATCTACAGTAAGAGAGAACAACACATTTGCAAATAGATCACTGGCAGGCAAAAAAATGGGAGAAGAGGCACTGGAGTGTGTGACGACTAATAAATTAACAAAATATGTGTGTTGTATACATGGAAACTAGTTTAAATAAAGTCAAAGAGCAGTGTGATCTGAGGTTGAATAAAAGAGTTTAAAGCAGTTTTGTGCGAAATGAATGGAAATCTAGAGATTAATGCAAAGTTTTCAGCAATACAATGATAGAGAACAACAAGACAAGATCTGGTATTAGGACATTTTCTGAGATACAGGAATAGTGTCAAGTGCTGGTAAGAGAGGAAAGTTAGAAAGGATGCACGGACAGAGTCAGACACTCAAAGATGGAAAGTCTGACAAAGATGGACTCAATAATTGAGACACTTAGAGGGAGCACTGTAGGGATTGGATAAGTGTCAGTAATAACACATTTACCGAAAGAATAAGAATGTGCAGGAGTGTAAATGAAGATAACACTGTATGAATTTTTCAAGATCAAAGAAAATATATTTTACACTGAAGTATCATTCAGACGTTACTTAAATAATGCTACCAATTGAACTTTGCAAATAATAATCTGTATTAAATCTACTGTATGAAGTGATTACTTTTGAATACCCAATGTTCTTGTCCTGATTATTAATGACTATGTTTGAAACTCTCATAACTTATGCAATTTCCCTAAGCCAAAGAGAAAACTTCTAAGGAAAAAATATAAAGTTAACTATTTTGTATACTGAATGATTCGAACAGTTCAACATCGAATTCAAAACATTTATATTCTCAACACATTTTGAACTAAACAGTGTATTTTTCCAAAATGCAGCAATGATCTCTTGGCATTTATAGAAAATGTTTATGAAGGGACTTAGTACACTAGGACTAAAGTGTCAGGAAATGATTTAGCTCACATATCAAGACGTTAACCCTAGCTAGCCCATCAAAAAGTAACCAGATGAAGATGAAGTACTATTCTGGGTGAAAGAAAAGTTAAAGAACTAGTTGATTTTTGATAGTTCAACAGAAAGGAACAGTGGATTAAAACCAATAGGCTTGCATCGCCTACTGATACTAGACAATTAATGTGTCAGACCAGTTTTTTAAATTTATAAATACTTGACAGAATGAATCCAATCAGAATGCTTGCTGGATAAATGTTCAGCCCTTTTATTATCATAATACAATGTTATGCCTATAAAATTTGCAAAATTAATTAAGGACTAATCACCCTACTCCCTTTCTTAAACGATAGGAAGAACTTTGACAGAAGGATCGGTGAGCAGGATGGTGGACCACCTAATGAACACAGAGATCAATACACAACGGATAGTTGCAGTCGAAAATTGCTTTGGAGCAACAGGTCAGCCTCTGGTCATGCATGGGCGAGTACTTGTAGGTGAAGGATTATTGACAAAAGTCTGTCGCAAGAAGCCAAAACCCCGGATGTTTTTCCTATTTAATGACATCCTGGTATATGGAAGTATTATCATCCACAAGAAAAAGTACACCAGTCAACAGATAATACCATTGGAGGATGTCAATGTTGAAGATCTTGCAGATAATGACAGTCTGAAAAATCAATGGATGATAAAAACCTCACGAAAATCATTCATAGTGTGTGCTGCAACCCGGTCTGAAAAAGAAGACTGGATAAAGCATATTAACAATTGTGTTAAAAAACTGCTGGAAAAGACAGGAAAGGCACCACCTACTGAACATGCAGCCCCTTGGATACCAGACAAGATGACAGAAATCTGCATGCGGTGCACTCAAAAGAAGTTCAACACTTTAATTCGCAGGCATCACTGTCGGAACTGTGGCTTTGTGGTGTGTTATTCTTGTTCAAAGCACAAGTTTCTTATGCCTAAGCTGTCATCAAAGCCTTTAAGGGTATGCACATTATGTTACAATAAATTGATGGAAGAGAAGGGTAAAATCTCAACATTAGACCGAAAAGCAGATGAGATCACTGATCTGAATGATGATGAAGATGATGACAAATCCAGTGATGAGGAGAAGCAAGACCTGGGACAGGATCCATTATTTTCAACAGATCTCTCTTGGTCCTCTTTCCACACTTAGTCATATACACAAGTGAACTAACTCAACAATTACATCATGAAGTGAAACAGGTCTCTTTCAAGCAATTTTCAGAGAAATGAGACACTAATTTTACTTCACACTAACAAATATAAAATGCTTATTTTGCTTTGCAATGCAGTGTACATTTTTCTTTACTGTTGTTTTCCATACAAACTGGATTTGACAGATTTGCCATTGCATAAGGGTACTTATGCAATTTATATTTCATGGGCAGAGTTTGATGCTCACTCCCAAGGCGTGTTTTGAGGCAGGAGTCATTTAATTGAATGGAAAGTTCCCACATGGAGATGTCTCTGACTTCCCACCTCTGCCCCGATTATTTCCAGAGAAGATGAGTGGGAAAGCTGTCTATAAGCTTTCCTACCCAAATGCCAATTGAAGTCCTTATGTGGCCAATTAATACCCAGTTAATTGCCTTATCCTGCTGCCACATATTCAAATAACCAAGGGCAATCAAATTTCTATACAAGAAGCCCAAATGACAAAACCTACTGTATTTTCCTGGAAACTCCCATAGGGTGCTTTGATGAAGGGACCTGGCAATGGATAGGGAGGCAGCATCGTGCTACTGAAAGCCATCCCACTGTTTTTTCTTCTGAGCCCATTCATACGTGATCCATTGATCCCGTTTCTGCAATTCTCGTTTCACTTCTATCTTGTGTCCCATGCTAATTTTGGCCTCAAATATGTGCATGACAGGCAACCCCAAGTTTGTCCCCAGTAACTTTAATGATAATGAAGAATTGCTGATCTCAGTTGGTTGGAAACCCCCAGGTTGGGTGGAACTTCCACCTCTGGGGTAGGTTTTGCCAGATTGATTTCTGCCTTATATCTACATAACACATATATCGTAGGTATATACGCTATTGTGATTAATCCTGAATGTCACATTTCATGAAGATTTCTGGTTCAGTTCCTGATGAATTAATTAGCTAATCTCAGCTTTGGGGATGGTCAAAGTTTGATCATTTGTCTCTGCACCTCTGATAAGGGAAAAGAAAATCAACAGAGATTTCCACTCTTAATCAAGTGAGGTTGAAATTAGACTTGAGTTTGAGGGTAGCCAAGATCAGGTATTCTCTGTGCTCACTTGTGAATATTTGCTCCTCAGCTCCCGGGCCACCAAATGTGCTTCAGGTTTAACTATCGACCTCTGACAAGAAAGAAAAGAAGGTGGACAAATGAATAAAAATTGAACAAATTCACATCAAAACACCATGCTCCACAACAGTCCCAAAATAAATAGACTTAGAACTTTTCAATATATTGCTGCTGGAAAGCTTGGTACAAATCTCATGTCATGTAGCATTTGCAATTTGTAACACAGTCAAGTAACTCTGTTATGCTTATGAGATTTCTGAAGAAGTGCAATTGTATCAGAGATAGTAGGAACTGCAGATGCTGGAGAATCCGAGACAACAAGGTGCAGGGCTGGATGAACACAGCAGGCCAATCAGCATCATAGGAGCAGAGAGGCTGACGTTTCGGGCCTAGACCCTTCATCAGAAAAGGGGGAGGGGAAGAGGGTTTTGAAATAAATAGGGAGAGAGTGGGAGGCGGATAGAAGAGGGATAGAGGAGAGGATAGGTGGAGAGGAAACAAACAGGTCGAAGAGGCGGGGATGGAGCCAGGAAAGGTGAGTGTAGGTAGGGAGTTAGGAAGGGGATAGGTCAGTCCAGGGAGGACGGACAGTTCAAGGGGGCGGGATGAGGTTGGTCGGTAGGAGATGGAGGTGCGGCT